CGGCCAGATTATTATATACACTGAGCGGCCAGATTATTATATACACTGAGTGGCCAGATTATTATGACCACCTGACGTTTGTAGGCTAATTAGCTATAATTTGGCGCTGAAGTTGCTATAGGGCCAGACCATTATAAATAGGGAAGCAGGTTGTTTACCACGACAGTAGAAGTGATTTCTGAAGATACGGGTAAACAACGCGATGTAACAGCCTTTGAACGCGGGATGATTGTTGGCGCTCGGAGCCACGGAGCGAGTATCAGCAAAACAGCAGAATTCGTTAAATGTTCAAGAGGGGCTCATTGTTAAAGTGTTTAAAGACCGGACTGTCAGCCGAAAATCTGGGTCTGAACGTGTGAATTGCGGCCGTCTAGTCAATGTTAGGGCAGAACGGAGAGTGACAAGACTGGTACAAGACAACAGAAGGGCAACAGTGCCGTGTCAGATTCCTCGCATCACCTTTCACCATCTCGTGGAGTCACGAGGTGGCACAACGAAGTACTGATGGGGTGGTCATAATAATCTGGCCACTCAGTGTATATGAAATGACTATTCCTGGTTATAATAGGAAAATAATTATACAGCCTCAGCTGCCTCTCTGCCTCTGCTGCCTATAGGCACATGCCTACTCTGCCTAATGGTAAACTCCAGCCCTCAGTATAACATACACAGGTATGAATTGTGTAAGGGACACAATATACTGTAAGAGAGCTATGTCCTATGTGCAGAGCATACATTTTGATGCAGACACTAGAACTTAGCAGCTCAGTTTTGTATCCACAATAATAGCAATACCGTGTACTGTTTCATGCCTATGGAATTACTTCATATTCCGGTTTACATAAGTCCCTACTTTTCAATAGTTTTCTTTTATTTTTCTTTCTTGTTTGACACATAATTACCACTGTTAGTATTAAGGTTGAGCCCAAAGTTTAGGGTCAAGGTTAGGTATTGGGATCAGGTTAGAATAGGAGTCAGATAGAGGTTTAGGCATAGGGTTTATGTTGGGGGTAAGGGTAAGAAATTATAAGGCATAGGGTTCTAGAGGTTGGGCTTGGATTAAAGTTTAGGGTCAAGGTTAGGTATTGGGATCAGGTTAGTTTAGGGGTCAGATAGAGGGTTAGGCATAGGGTTTATGTTGGGGGTAAGGGTAAGAAGTTATTTTAAGGTATATGGTTCTAGAGCTTGGGCTTGGATTAAAGTTTAGGGTCAAGGTTAGGTATTGGGATCAGGTTAGTTTAGGGGTCAGATAGAGGGTTAGGCATAGCGTTTATGTTGGGGGTAAGGGCAGTGGCGACTCTAGGAACAATATGTAGGGGGGGCCCATAAGATACAACAGTCAAATCTGGGGGGGCACTAATAATTTTCATTGCATGTCGCAACCGCTGGGCACCGATGAGCTGATTTAATTGCGGATGGCATTGGCACCCCGCGGTTGTGACATGTAGTCCAACGCCGCCCACAATCCTGCATACCGCAACGGCCGGGCGCCGATGCCATCCGCAATTTAATCAGCTCTCGGCGTCCGGCAGTTGTGGAATACAGCATAGGCTGACTAGCAACTTTTAGCCCAGGGGGCAAGTACAACCCAGAGGTAAGGGTAATAAGTTATTTTAGGGTATAGGGTTCTAGAGGTTGGGCTTGGATTAAAGTTTAGGGTCAAGGTTAGGTATTGGGATCAGGTTAGGCTAGGGGCCAGATTGAGGGTTAGGCATAGGGTTTATGTTAGGGGTAAGGGTAAGAAGTTATTTTAAGGTATAGGGTTGTAGAGCTTGGGCTTGGATTAAAGTTAAGGGTTAGCTGTGCATCTACTGGCCACCCTAATGCTCTATGTATAGCCCCACAGAGGATAGTGGAATAGTGCAAGGGCAACATACTAATGGCACTACCCGAGTACATTGCGCAGACTGGTGTCATAGCTGGGCATCCTGCAGAACAATATGTACAATCTAAATCAACATTATAGTAATAATCATAACATCATATCTAGCTGTTTATAGAAATTCAGAGTCTTGTTTATAAATAGGTTTTGACTGATACATTGATTTAAGCCAGGAATCCTATCAGCTTTGAGTAAATGGATCCATTTTGGTTTTCAGCCTGTAAGACGCTTTAATCAAAGTCACCACCGTGGGGACTTTGGTGAACACAGTCCAATGCAATAAAGGGGCTCAACTGGGATTACAATAATGGTAAAGAGCAAAATGTCTGCCAATGGGACTGCACATGTTCCCATTAGTATTATCATGAATATAGACTCAACAATGAAAGGGTCTCTTAGTTTTTCCCACATAATGAGCACCACACAGGTGAGTAGGTATACCACAATTGTAATCTGACAAAGTACGAAATGTCTGACCATTGGGTAATATAAAGTTTGGATTTTAATCAATATCTTTGTATTCATTAAAAAAAATCCACGTTGTACTACATTCGCTGGCACAATTATCTCCCTTAGTCAAACCTATACTCACTTTAGTTTGCATATTTTGTAACAACGTTGAACGCCTCAAAAATAATTTCAGTGGTCAAGTTGACAAAATTCTTAATTTGTTTGTCATTAACAAGTAAATGTCAGTGTCTATTTAGGATGTTCCTTTCTTGTCTATGGTGTTGAGTTTAATTATTATACAAGCTGATTCATTAGTAGGCTTTCTTTTGATCAATAGGGGATGTTTTGACTAGTATAATAGAGTATCTTTATGGATACCCTTAGCACATTGATATGCATTTTTAAAGATGGTGTTACAATATCCAAAAAAGCAATTTGAGAAGTTTCAAAATTCATAGTAAAACTAAGGTTATAGTGCTTTTCATTAATACAAGTCAAAAAAGCTCATAATAGAGATGAACTCCCAGTCCATATGGAAAAAAACGTTGTCTATGAAACTGTGCCATACCAAAATGTGCAAAAGTTACATAGACAAAGCATCACCATAAAATAAATCCCTCTTCCACCCACCAGGTACAGATTGGTGTAGGGCGGGGCACAAATAGTCATTGCTATCACCACTCTCTGCACCTGGCGGTAGTGGGAATCTAAAGAGGATTTAAACACTGTGTTACTATATCCAAAAATGCAATTTGAGAAGTTTCAAAAATTCATAGTAAAACTAAGATTGTAGTGCTTTTCATTAATACAAGTCAAAAAAGCTTGTAATAGAGATAAACTCCAAGTGCATATGGAAAAAAACGTCGTCTATGTATCTGTGCAATATCAAAATGTGCAACAGTTACATAGACAAAGCATCACCATTACATAAATCCCTCTCCCACCCACCAGGTACAGATTGGTGTAGGACGGGGCACAAATAGTCATTGCTATCACCACTCTCTGTACCTGGCGGTAGTGGGAGTCTAAAGAGGATTTAAAGACTGTGTTACTATATCCAAAAATGCAATTTGAAAAGTTTCAAAATTAAGTAAAACTAAGATTATAGTGCTTTTCTGTCACGGGAGCCATGTACCTGTGGTGAGACCGAAGTAGTGGGGAGGTCTCCCTTGCACCTCTGGTCCTTGAAGTCCCTGGAGATGGAGACAGAGACTTGGTGGACACCGAGTGGCACGGGTGTCAGGGGTGCGGAGCACCGTGCAAGCCTTAGTCCGAGATCCTAGCCAAGGTAAAGTCCACTCTGGCAAAGAAGTACACAAGGGTTAATCAGAAGAATGGTCGAGATCCAAGCCGGGGTCGGTTCCAATCTGGCAGCTGAGTACAAAAGGGGCAAAGAAGTAGAATGGTCAAGGTACAAATCCGAGGTCAATGGCAGGCAGCAATCAAGAGTAGTCAAATCTGTTTCCAGGTCACAACAAGTTCAGACAGATCACACACTAGCACAGGAACAAGGGGGGACTGAAGATAATCCAGCAATTTGGCAGTGTCTGGGCTGGGATTGTTAGCCATTCATTTTATCTCCACTCTTCACTACAAATACATTTGTATTTGTCTGCAAGTATTTACAGTTCCTTTGCATTAAAGGAGAACTATGAGGTGGGTGATTTACACTCCTCCTCATAGTTAGAGCCGACGTGTGACAATGAAACTGTAACACGTCGGCTCAATAGATCGGGAAGTGAGCGAACACATACAGTCGCTCACTTCTCGATCATGTCCCTGCAGAGAACCGTGACTGTCACTCACGGCTCCTTGCAGGGATTCCTCCCTCCCCTCTCCAATCCTCCAGCACTGACTGGAGGAACGGACGGGGGAGGGTACAGCTGGCTCTGCCTCTAGATAGGCAGAGCCAGCTGTCACTCACGCAGCTGGGTGGATCTCGACAGTAATGTTGGGATCCGTCCCGGGTGCGGCGGTCTCAGTATAACGCGAGCTGTAGCTTGCGATATACTGAGCTTTGGGTCACGGGAGGACGCTAGTGTATGTCCTCCCATGACCCTTAGGAGAACTATGGGTGAAAACACTTACCCCATAGTTCTCCTTTAAGTAGTAAATCTTCGTAAAGGGCTGTGTGGACGGGCTTAGGTTTACTTCAAACTGGTTTTACTTCCTGTGCAGGTCCAAAGGAAAGCAAAGCCTTCTCAAATGTAGGTCAGAAGGGACTCAACTGCAGGTCAAATGCATCTAATAATGAATTAATTCCGAATGATCTCAGAAGTGTCTCAACTGATGTCAAGCAGATGTCATTGACACAAGCCCAAAGCCGCCGACACAAGCCCTAATCTGAAAAGTTGGAATGGAAGTTCCTCAACTCAACGTCTGTTATATTAATGGGAAATTTATATTCTCTTTCGGAAATCGTTTTATGGCTAAAATATAAACAGCTAGACTGCAACTTTTGACCTTCTACAAATGTTACCACTGACCTGATGTGTGACTGGTGTACTTTACGATGTGTAGGCCAACACCCAGAGCTTATAATTCAGACTTTAGTCACTGTATAAACAAATCTGGCTGAGCACAGGATGACGCCATGGAACTTTGTCTGTGAAATCTGCCATCTCTAGGTTTATGTCGAAAATTAACACTTCTATAAATATCTTTAAAGGTTCCCACTACCCAGACAGCCTGAGATACAAGTTTAATTTCATAGCCGATGTGGTGCAGAAGATCGCGCCGGCTGTCGTACATCTGGAACTCTTTAGAAGGTAATATTCTTATGACGGTGACCTGTGTTGTTCCTGAATTACAGTAATTCCATTTGCTCACTTTTCTTGTCACTTAGTCAAGTCAGATCTTGAAAAGCTTGATACAAGTGTAGGGCCTCCCTGACCTCCAGAGGCCTAAGGTGGACCCCCAAAGGGCAGAGGGCCCGACATTTCACTCTCAGGGGCAGATCCTTAGCCAGTGAGGGATATATGATCAATAAAGTTGGGCACCAGTCACTTTAAGTGCCTTTTACAAATGCTTTATTGTAGAACTTCAAACTGGGAGAGAAGGTATAGGGCTTCAGACATCCATAGCAAAAACAAAACAGACTCAAGCACACTCATCATTCCCATCAGACTTCCACAGTGCAGAATCAATAGGAGAACAGGCTTACACTGGGCAAAAGAGTAACAACTGAACAGGGGTGGGTATGAGATCTTCCATAAGAGAGACACCAGACTTTTTCCTGAGGTCTATATCAGTACCAGGCACCTCCAGCATTCATTAAAAGAGAACTATGAGGTGAGTGAAAATCACTCAACCTCATAGTTCGAGCTGACGTGTGACAATGAAACTGTCACAGGTCGGCTCAATAGATCGGGAAGTGAGCGAACACATACCGGCGCTCGCTCACTTCTCGATCATCTCCCTGCAGAGAGCGGTGACTGTCAGTCACGGCTCCCCGCAGGGATTCCCCCCGTCCCTGCTCCGATTCTCCAGCGCTGACTAGAGAAACGGACGGTGGTGGGGGTGGGTACAGCTGGCTCTGCCTCTAGATAGGCAGAGGCCGCTGTCACTCACGCAGCTGGGTGGATCTCGACAGTAATGTCAGGATCTCCGTCCCGGCTGCGGCGGTCTCAGTATACCGCGAGCTGTAGCTTGCGATATACTGAGCTTTGGGTCACCGGAGGACTCTAGTATATGTCCTCCCGCGACCCTTGGGAGAACTATGGGGAAAAACACTTACCCCATAGTTCTCTTTTAATGCAATTCTGTTGCTAAAATACAAAGTGTAATACTGACCTCTCCTGTGGAGACAAGTGGAGGTAAGTATTAAACTTTTTAACAACATGTTTCAAAGGGTTCTGTTCCAAGGAAAGATCAGCTTTTCCATCCTACACCGCAAAGGTAACTCTTATCTCCCAGACCTTGTCCGGTCACTACATCGGGTCCACAGCAAAGTAAGCCAGTCCAAGATGGTCAATCGGAGGTTTATTTTCAAATATGGAGCTTAAATGCAAAGTAATGCACTTTGGAATTAAAAATAAACAAATGGGTTATACAATTATGGGTATGCCGCTGGGGAAGTCAGAAATGGAGAAGGATTTGGGGGTCATTGTAGACCACAAACTGAAAGGTAGTTTGCAGTGCCAGGCTGCTGTAAACAAAGCTAGCAGGGTCTTGTCCTGTATTAAAAAGGGGATGTATTGCAGGGACAAGTCTATAATTTTGCCACTTTATAGATCATTGGTTCGACCTCATCTGGAGTACGCGGTCCAGTTCTGGTCACCAGTACTAAGAAAAGATGTCCTTGAGTTGGAAAAAGTCCAGCGGAGGGCAACCAAACTAATTAGGGGTATGGAGGACCAGAGCTACGAGACAAGGCTACTAAATTTAAACATGTTCACATTGGAGGTGAGGAGATTGAGGGGGGATATGATCTCCATGTACAAAATGTTCAATGGTGGTAGCAACATTAGCGATAAACTGTTTAAAATTAACTCCATTACAAAAACTAGAGGCCACCACCTAAAATTGGTGGAAAAAAAATTCCAGCACAAGGGGCGAAGGGGGTTCTTCACAGTAAGATCAGTTAGGGTCTGGAACTCACTGCCACAGGCGGTGATTTCAGCAAAGAATGTGGAATTGTTCAAGAAACTTTTGGACGATTTCTTAAGGGACCGTAATATACAGGGGTACGGGTACTCCTAGAATGAGATCCTAATAGGTTGGACTTGATGGACTAATGTCTTTATTCAACCTCAAATACTATGTAACTATGTAACTATGTAACAATGCTGCATGAACAACAAAGAGGCTTGACGTGTTCCACACTAAGCGTGCTTAATCATATGGACCATATGTACTGTAGATTTACAGGTAGGTGGTCTACAGCCAGGTCTTCCGAATCTACCTATTTGCTAATTAATTCAGGATCCCCTTTCATATCGGTAGCAAAACCTGTATATTTCATATCAATATGAGCAAGTGAGAAGGATCATTTAAAGGACCAGTCCACCCAAAAGTAACATTCCAGTTTTTGGTAGATGCTGCCAAGTTTAGCACGTAAAGTGTCTATAAAACCAGAAACATTTTTCTAGTTTTGCTTAGAGCGAGTAAAGATTCAGATTCCTGATGGGCTTTTATGCTTTTACTGCTATCTGGGGCTCTGTTAGATATAGGGTTGCACAGATACCAAGTACAGTACTCGGTACAAGTACGAGTACAGGTACCGATACTTATTTCTGTGTTATTGTTAGAGTGCTACTCTCACTTCCTACCTGGTAGAATGTTTTTAGCAGAGCAGGAAGTGAGGGTAAATCTCTCTGATGGAGCCCCAGATAGCATTAAAGCCTGACAGGTGTTCTAAAGCTTCCCACATTTTAGCTTAATATACACTTTGTGTAAAGAAAGAGAACCAGGGAAAAGGAAGGGAAGGTTCAGGCACAAAATATTCAATTATTTAAATTACTTAATTGGAATGTGGGTCCCCTACGAGATAATTATATGAACAAGAATGATTCCCCTATTGGGGGATCCCACCATTCCTACAAACAATGATATGGATAACACCGATAATAAATGCAATATATATTTATTTGGTTTAGAAAAAAGCTAAAAGTGACTATCCTATAATATACTACATTCTAGGAATAACATCAACAGACAAAACATGTAAACATTCAAATGACTGCATCCACTTGTTGATATATAAAGTGGGTATATGTATAAAACTTCATCCATAAAAAGACATGTCGAAAAAAAGAGGGAAAAACTGGTATATTCAGGTTTGGAGAGTGAGTTCTGAAGCTGACAAATGTTCAGATATGTGGAATATTTCCTGAATGAGTGTAAGAATCGCCCTCGATCGAAAAAGAGGGAACCGATTATGGCAATGTGGTAACACAGAGAAAAGATATAGTCCAAGCGGCAGCCCGGGAGAACAATGGAATCCTTGAAATAGTAAATAGTAAAACAAATAGTAAAAATAGTAAAATAGTAAAACAAAACCAGCTAGACGCCCAATGACGCGTTTCGCCCCAAATATACACTTTGATATGGTCTTATGTCTTGGAGGAACTCCACTGTGAGATGTCTGTGCTTGTGGTTTTGGGTCTAAATAACATCTTCCATTCTGACAACAAATACAACAAAGCGCATTCTTATGATTTGTATCTCCTGAGCTCTCTTTATCGACTCGTTGGAGCATTCTAGAATAATTGTATGATGAGTAAGAGCTGTGATTGTTTTCTGTGCCAGGTCTCCGTTCACTGGTCAGGAGATGGCTGTGTCCAGTGGCTCAGGATTTATTGTATCTGAAGATGGACTCATAGTGACCAACGCTCATGTCCTCACAAATAAGCAGCGGATTAAAGTGGAGGTGAAAGATGGAGCACATTATGATGCCAAAGTGAAGGATGTTGACCAGAAGCTGGACATCGCTCTGATCAAGATTGACCCTGATGTGCGTTGTAAAGGCTAAGACCACTATTTATGTCTTTTGAGAAAAAAAACTGGAAGCTGTAATCCAAAGGTTTTAATACTTCCCGAGTTACAGACCCAGAACAAGCAAGCAGATTAGGGGTTCTGATTTCACTCTGGGGTCAAGTAACTCAGAAAACATTGAAGTCACTACATCAGCAAGGCAGCCTAGGTCAGCAATGAGAGCCTTCATATTTTGCTTAAAGAGGAAAGGGTAATTGAGGGCCAGAAAATGTCCTTTTCACTGAAACCCTAGGACTCCTGGTTCCCGCCAAACAGTTGGTCATGTGACCAATTCCACAGGTCTGGTCTCATTTCCTCTACCTGTGGGTGGAATGACTGATAGGACTCAGCTTTTCTCAAGTTAGAGAGAGAGTAAGATGTGGGCTTAGGTGAACCTGTAGCTGCCTGGGAAGATTGGAGTAAACAAATCATTAAAGCTGGTTGTATCAGGACTTCACAAGGACAGGAGTTTCCTCTCCAGTGAGATGAGCTTTGGTTAAGGTATAGACTGGGAAGATATTATCCCAAGGGTGAACAGAGACTCTGAGCATTGGTATAGGGACAGGGGAGCTGAAGCCTTGTCCCCAGAGTAAGTCCTAAGACCTGGTGAAGGGGCAATGACTAAGATGTCACTTGTTAAGGATGGCGGAGTTTGAAATTGTGGTGAGGACAACCATTGGCCTCACCTCAATTATATCCATGTCTGAAGAGTTTACACAGCCACTCTTGCTGAATAATATGACATTAATGAATCTTTTCTTACAGGCCCCTCTCCCAGTCCTCATGTTAGGTAGATCATCGGACCTGAGACCTGGAGAATTCGTGGTCGCCCTGGGGAGCCCTTTCTCTCTACAAAACACAGTGACCACTGGGATTATCAGCACAACCCATCGAGGAGGGAAGGAACTGGGCCTGAAAGATTCTGATATGGAATACATCCAGACAGATGCTATTATTAATGTAAGTGACAGATATCTCTCGCATCATTGCTGACATTTTTCTAGAACCAAATGGAAAATGGTAACAAATGTCTAACAAAAATGAAATTAAAGTAGAGACGAAGCTATGACTTTTTTAGTTTTAGAGTACAAGAGGGTTATAACCCTTTAACTGTTTTGCCACCTATGTCCCACTGGGGAGATTTCTCTTCACTTCCTTGTCTGCCAGCCGCAACAGAAAGTGATAGAAAATCCCTGGGGGTCAGAAGGTTACCAGAACTAGTGTCCCCAATGGAATATATCCAATCTATTCCTCTTCTTGTGACAAACCAATATTTTGGATTTTTTTTTTTTCAAATTTCAGTGACCAGGATCAATAGAGAGGGTAAATCTCCATAATGGGGACACAGGCAGCATTAAAAACCCAACAAGTGTTCTAATCCCTCTCCACTGCTACCAAAAACAAAATGTGCTTGTGCAGAAGTAAAAAAAAACACTTGGTTTACCTTAATCCTTCATTAAGGTTGTCTCAGAGTATCTGCTTCCTGAAGCATAGCAAAAGTTCAGTAGGTCTTAGTTACTTACAACACATTTATTTTTTCATGGGCCACCTAACATGGTGCAACCTCAATGTAGGAAAATGTGTTGCTATTGTGTGCCCAACACTGGATGTGTCCAGAGGCCCTCTGTAATTTTTAAGTTGACCACCATTGATATAAATGTTCTAGTTTTTCCTCTAAGAGAGACAAACAATGCACTATGACATGTTAAACATTTTAAAATAAATGTAATCGGCCTCTTTGTTAATGGTAAATTCACCTGGGAATCTGGATTTCTCCTGCACCCTGATGGACAGCACTGGAGGTGTCAATCTAAAGGGCATTGGGCGGAGCTAGGTGGGGCTATTCACTGACAGGGCTATCAATGGTGCTGGCATCTAAGCAGCTACATCAGCAGGAAGTGTGACAACGATGTAGTGATTTCACTGCAGAGGGAAGAGCATTGTGGCAATCTCAAAGGAAGTGCCTATCCAATGGTTCCACCATTGACCCTGCCAATGGTTCCACTGGCAAGCATTTTCAATATGTTCTGGGAGGGTACCTGGAAAAACCAGAGAGCCCAGTCTAACTGTAACCAGGCAGAATCTCCTCTATCCTTTGAGGAAGGAAGATTCTAGTTAAGGAACATTCTAGCTGGGAAATCTCCAGAAAGAAAGCCTCTGGAAACGTTATTATTCATGAAGGGGGCAGGAAGGGGTTGTCTCAAGCCAATATA